TAGTTTACACTAAGCCAACATAGTTTACACTGAGCCAACATAGTTTGGACAATACACAATATAGTATAAATTAACTGTATACAATATTATGTACTACTAAGTCTTATACTATCCCAATCCTTCAGGCTATTTAAAAACTAGTTATATGTGGTTAATACATACAAGCAAGGTTAATTGGTGAGTCTGAAGTCTTGGCAGCAAATGACTTCCATTAATGTGCACATTAACTTTTGATAAGACCAGACAATCAGAGTGATGTAGAATAAGAACCTCCATTAATATTCTGATTTCTCTCTTCAATGAATTTTTAAAACACTGTTTTCAAATCTCAAGTTTTCAAGGGATAACTGTCAGTCACAGAGACTGCACGGGGAATCATAGGACACCATTGCAATATAATTTTAATTCAGTAAGTAAATTTGCTGTAACATTAGGCTTCATTGTAGCTGTTTCATGTAGCTGTTTGAGCCATGTGTATATGAAATAAATTACATTTGTTATTTCTTTTTTGTACATTTTTCTCTAAATTTTGGACTGAATGGACATAATTTCCAATTGGCATTTAAAATATTTGAAAAATATGGAAATAAATTGCACACAAATTTATTTTGTGCACTCAAAGGTGATATTATTCTTATAGTGTTATGATTTTGTTGTTTTTGTGAAATTGTCTCCACTTACACTAACTAGGGTCTATCTACTAATTATTTACTAAAAATGTCCTCATTAATTATTTTCCAAAAACTTAATTCATAGTGATGCCATTGAAACAGTTACCAATTTAGTGTTCCTAACTGCACATAAGGGAAGCCTGGAAAAGCTTATCTTGACCACAGAGGGCAGGCTTTCTAATCAGAATGAAATCAATATACTGCAGATAGATTTTATTTTCAATCCAGCTTGAATTTCTTTTGTATCAATAAATGCGTTTTAGTTTAAAATGTTTTTATTATGTTAAACATTAGTTGCAGTTTAAAATGAAAAATTTGTTAATACACAAGAATTTGGATTTAGTAGTATTATACCTCTCATAATAATTTTAATTATACGCCCTTTTTTCGTCTGTTTAATGTTCATTGAATTAATGATGGATGCAGAATATTACCAAAATGTTTATTTGAATTGACAGAATTATATACAACATGGATATCTGCACATCGCATAAATATTTGTGTAGCATTTCTCCTTGTATTGTTGATTTTTTCCAGGGGGATTGAATCATCGGGATGTTGACATCTATTCAACTGCAAATTGTATTTATTCAGCTCTGCTGAATGCTTTGAATTACTCAGAATACATGCAATGCTTAGCTAAACAGGATTGGTTTCCGATTTCAATGTGATGCAGTCGTCATGGTGATTTCACCATCTGTTTCTTCATCTGCTTCATAATTTGTGGAACTCTGAGGAATTGATTTCTTGGCGTTTTTTTCATTGTTGTTTCATCACCTTTACGCAGAATTTTTATTTAGTTTGTTTTCTCCTCAAAAGTTCATTAATATGTTTGTGATCACCACACTCTTGTCATTTTGTTGATTAATTAAGATCAAGCTGCTTGTAAACATTTACCAGAACAATGACAAACAAATGTCTGATGAGTGAGTACATATTGTAAATACCTGGAAATAAATGTGCCAGTTGCAACTGACATTAAAGGTACATGTGTGAACGTAGTGCAAGAAATTCTTGAATAAATGCATTTCCGTGAATTAGAGAATTCTTGAAAATTAGAGAATTCTAAGTGTTGTATATCATGATACACAGTGTACACAATTCATCTACAATGTCTAACTGGTGGTGCAGATTGGCATACTAGATTACCAGTACTAGATTAATTAATTGGATTATCTATGAATCCAGTGATGTCCAAAACTGTATATAGAATGTTAATGTGACAGAGAAAAAAAATGAATACAATCACTTTGTTTTGATAATATAGTTGTCTATCTTCAGTGCAAGACATTAATAGAGAGTAATCAATCATTATCTCTGTCAACAAAGCAACACATATAAAATTATACAGACTGTAGAAAGAATTTGTCATTGCAGAGGTCGGGGATTCGGGAATACTAGACCACTAATTGGTTTCCTAGTATGGTCTTCTAACCTTCAACCATTAAGTTGAAACGAGTTAGAATATAAAATTGAGAAAACTAAGAGACTTTTTCAAGAGAGACAAATTGCATCTGGCAGCTGTACTGGGCATGAATTGTGGAATATTGAAGTGAACAAAATCGGCTTTAATTGCATTTTCTGCAAAACTACAATTATACTGCCCTACTTTGCTTAATTGCTGAAATTATGTAACTTAAGGCCACATACGAATTTTAGGATCTACGAAAGATTTCCATCTCGGACCAATCAGGTAATCGTGATTGGATTTCAATATTACCCTATTTATGTTGTGCCTATGCTTTCTTTCTCAAACAGATTTCATCTCAGGAAATTTGATCTTTAGGCCATTTGTAGTGTCAGTGCGTACGTGTGTGTTTGTGTTCGTGTAAGCAAGCTGATGATGTACCTGTATGTTGGTTCAAAGTGGGGGTGTCATCACTTGCGCATTGACAGACCACCATAGTGTGTTTTTGTTTACAAACAAACTTCTGCCCATGAGCTTTTGCGTTTTTAATGTGCGTTGTTATCCTTGAATGGGACTTGATTCCTGCATATGCGTAAGTGATGACGCCTCTTCTTTAAGGTAGGGGAGGGATTAGTTTTAGGTATTCGATTGCACATACCAAAGCAGGTGACTGTACTTGTCTTGGTCTAACAGGGAATACTGCCACTAGCTGCTGATGTGTATGTTATGTAATGGGACATATGAGACCCTGAACTTGAAAGCTGCAAATGGGTCCTGTGTGTGAATGAACTAAAAAGGATAACATTTTATTCTTGCCTCTCAGTATGGTTCAACATTCATGCTGACCCCCACTATCTTAAAGCTACTATGTATGTTGTGAGGATTACTATAGTAAAAAAAAAAACATGTTTGTGATGTTTATTTTATCTCAAAGTATTATTAAATGACAATTGCTTGGCATTCACTGAATGCAACCTTTGGATGCTGACCGTACATCCTTCATTGTGCATTGCTGTAGTGATGAAACACCAGTAGTTACGTTCATGTTACAAGATCATGACACTCGCCAAATATTTTCAATCCTTCATGTTTGAAACGGGATTATAGCAGTTACGTTCATGTTAATCAATCGCGACCCACTCGTGCCCTCAATTGTCAATCTGTTGCCCCAAATATAGCAAACGATACACATGTTCTGCATATATACAAAAGTTCACCACTGAGGGCAGGATTTTGGCTCAATTTTGGTTTAGGATTTTGATTCAGTAGACCAATCTCGCCATGTGTCAGAGTTTTGATTTTGAGCCTCAGTTTGTTTTTTGGCATGTGCCGACTCTGTCTCGACCTCTAGCTGACAACACATATTGGCTCCTGCCAGCCCAGTCCTTATGCTGGGCATGTGCTGAGGTCTTCTATGTGAACTCCACTATAGTCGCTAATCATGGGAAATTTTTTCATTAATCTTCATACAAAAACCCAAACCCTCCAAAAAACTAATAACACCTGCCCTAATAATACCTGACTTACTCAACATTTACTTTTTTAATACTTAGTCCAGAGTTTTTTTGTTTATGTGGTGTCAACTTTGATTCAAAATTGTCCTATAAAACTAGAGACCAAACAAGCATAATTTTGAAAAGAAGAACCGTAGTACCATACCATATATGTGTCTCCAATAGAAGTGCATGTAAACCAACAGTTGTGTTTATTGTATGCATGGCAGTTAAAATATACCTTTATTATAACCATATAAAATAAGATGCAAATTCAATATACTGCAAACAACTACAGAAACATGCACCTATGTCTATACATGTACATGTATAGAAATGCTATCAATTATGCATAGTTTCGTTATTTCTTATCATATATTCTCCTCTTTAAATTATTCACATTGTAGTCTAGTGGTGACAGAACAGATAAAATTACTGATGCTGGCTTGATACCCAGTTTTTGATCTCTGTCCCTTAACTGTCCCTTACTCTTGATGCTACACACCCCTATATGCAATAATGGTTTTGCCGCAATACGTGCTCAGAATAAATACTGTTTATCTCGGCCTACAATAATTGCTGATTGCTTCTAGGATTTTTTTCTTATTGTTTACAGAATATAAATTTTGTGCCATTCCTTTTCATGGTTTTTCTGTTTATGTGATTAATTTGAAAATTAAAATTAATAAAAAATTAAATTAAATTATCTTGACACAACCTTGAAATAATTTCTATATTAAATCGTAAGTAGGGTGGGTTGATAACTACTGATATAAGTAAATATTTTATTCATTCAGTATTGTTAAATTATTGATAACATGCATAGCATATATAGTGGGGTTCAAGTCTCAAAATGCAGAAGAAAACCACCTAATATTGGGGCCTCGCTTTCTTTGTTGACGGAAAATACTGTCAAGACGTGAATACATTACGGTGAAACATCAAACAACGATATAAGTGTTGAGTGGAGAAAATCTAGAAACTGCTTGCCATGGAAACCAACGATTAGCTTCTTATGATATCCCAAGGCTATTCTTCTGAAGGGGACAATTAAAGAAAATTTTTACGTGAGTGTGAACGCTTTTCAAAATGAAACCGCTCTTATGTAAATTCAGGGGCTTGGTTATGATAATGAGGCAGGGAATCATGACTAGGACGTGTACCATAATAATAATAAGTTGACATCGGATGAGAGCTTACAAGTGCCTTCTACCCACCACCCTTACATTGAGCGGAGAGTTTCATACCCCTGTATGAAAGCTCTGTTACATTGTACCTTATTTTAACGGCAATAACAACATTCTTTTGTTTTCTTCTTGTAATCTCTTTATTGGCTGAGGATCGCGTCTTGTGGATGTAAACATTTTGTGTACGTGTTATTTTCTTCAATTGTATCAAGGGCATTGTTTTAAAATAATCACCGATGCTGAACATCAACCTCTGTTCTGTTGTTTTCCCCGGGAAATAAGCAATCGTTGTAGTGTTTGTTGACATGCTCCATATACTATAAAATATCATCTTCTCCATGTTTCTTGCTTCATCAACAATATGTCATCCTCGTCTTACAATCTACGTTGTCTCTTCTGCTGTTGTTATGCGTGCCATGATCTGGTGCACTACTGCTCAACTGAAATTTACAAGCTATTTCATCCATCCGAGAGATTGTAAGTTATCATTTTTCTTAAAATTGATATTTATTTCTTGAACGACATTTGCATCATGTGTTTGTGTTGTGCCTACTAAGTTAAAGGGTCTGAATTGTCATTGTACATTGTTGAGGGTTGTTTTGATTTCACTATGACCCTATAGGTTAGTGAGAATATATCATTTATCTTTTCACTGATTGTTATGTTGAGCAGATTATGCACATCTATCAGATTATGCAGATTATCAGGTAGTGAAAAAAAATAATGGAATGTTGACTTAAATATGTAAATTTTGATTGATTTGTTAACGTGCGACATGGAACTGCTTTTATTATTTGATCAGCACAAAAGACGTAAGAAAGGACACATCGATTATAAATAATTACTCTCTGGGAAGAACCTTTCAGGAGAATACAATTGTGCTTTCATTTTATAAAAAATGCATGAAATGATTATTTTCTTGTCATGATTTTTTGTTATAAAAAACAAATGTATTACAGATTAAAAAAATCTAGAATTCTATGTTGCTAGCCCGTCATTAATTTGCATAATCCGACAAATCTGTTTTGAAATATGATCATTATGTCCTTATAAGGATGCGTACATTTGCATAGTCATCAAAAATGAGGATTATTAATATTTCTATCAAGTAATTTTTATGACATTGATAGAGAATAGGAAATTAATCATTTTATTACTATAGTATTGAGGTTTTAATAATGAGGTGTATGTCAGTCATCAAAGTCTCAGTAATATTCCTCCGATGTACACAACTCCAATCCTCGCTAGGCAACCAATCGATATCCTATGAAGACCTCATAACGGGTCTATGTATTTCCTTAATTAGTCGCATTTAAGCACATGTGATGGTAAACTATTATGTTTCTGAATTTTTGTTTTCGGCTCACATGTGTCTTGTAATGTACGCAAGGTTCCCATGCTTGTAATGGAGAATATGTTGCCTCACTTTAAGTATCTGATCGTTGCTGCTATTAGCGAGATGTTACATTCGGAAAATCATTTGTACTTATGGATTCAAAATGCCATTATCGAGAGAACCTCTTTAGAAGTAATTTTTTTTTTCTAAAATTTTGCTGACGATCTGAAGCCAATGAGAACTCATATCCATTTGGTCTGATGGTGTGTGCCATGCATAAGTTCTTTCATTGCAGTGTTTTATGGTTTCGGCTGTATACTCTCAAATTAATTATCTTCAAGACCAGATCCCCTTCTGTATCAGAAGAGTCTTCCTGTGGCTATATTATGTAGAATCTCTTGAAGATCTTTAATTGTGATATTTTCTGGTTTCCGTGATACTCTCAAATTAATCATCTTGAAGGCCAGATGAAATAGTGGAATACAGGGAACATTGAAAATGCAAATTGTGCAGATTATAGATCAAAACCACTGTAAACAGCAATGGTTTAACTCGTATTTAGTTATAGTATACAGCCAGTTATCAATCAGGGGAAGTACAGCGAGTTTGGTCTAGTCATAAACACTACAATATTATAGGGTCTATCACTCTATGGTCTAGTTGGGAATTTGTTTTCAAAGGTGAAATGTTCTACTGTTTCTTGCTTCAACTCCCCTGTTTTATTATGTGTTTGTCTCTCAAGTACTGTATTTTAAAACGTAATAATTCCAATGTGAGCTGCACACCAACAACTAGTAATGCACTTTATTATATACATGTATATATATTGCACTTCATCAAAATGCATAGACTGAAGTATTTCTCATAGGATTTGTGTATGATTACATTACATTACATGCAGTATAACCTATATACAGGTCTATTAAGTTATAATAAAGTGCATATCAAATATTAAAAATCTCTAGCCCACATGAATTCTCATATTACCAGTATATATTTACTAGTATTATGCATATGTTTTTATCGTCAACAAAAACACTTTACTGTACAGCCATGATAACATTGTTATTGAGAATTCTAGGGGTGATACTTAAATTACTGTCAATAAGGAAATAAATTAACAGCAGTGTCTGTCTGTCCATCCGTCCGGTCGTCCATATCATATAAAATAAGTGAAAAATTGCATTATCAAACTTTGAGTCATTTTAAAGCGTGGTGGTCGTCATGCAGCGTGTGTTTGAGTTTTATGTAAATAAACAATGTATTTTACACGCGTTGTATACAACGCTATGAGTCCCATATCAAACAGGATGCGACACGATGGCTGCCGCCCTTTAACAATTTTCGGGACGAGAATAAAATAAAATAAAATAAATAAATAATTTAACAGATGTCTTTCACCGTAGAATGTTCAGCCTCAAAAATTATTTGTTTTGAATTTAAATTAGATTAGGAATTTGTATATAAAGTGTGTGGAGATGATAGTTACTGTACTGTATTGTATTGTATTGGAACATCATCTGTATAGTATCTGTTGTGTTGTGTTTTTTTCCAATATACATTTAGTTATATCAGCAATTGAAACCCCAAAATTGACAGTTGCCCGTCCCTGTGGGCTGTCTAGAACCACAGGCAAATCTTCCTGGTTGGGTCATAAATTATAAGACTTAACATTAGACAGATGGCATTTATCTTATTTTAATGCGTCTTGTATATCTGCTGTCAGTTTTTAAGTAGTACTCAAAGTGCACTTGAAAAGAGTTTCTTGATATTAAAAAAAAAAAAAAAGGTATAAACTAATCAACCATTTCAGTTTATCCCCAATTACTGAAATGTCTTGCTTCTCATGGGCTCTATCTCTTCAAACTACTTCCATGTCGTATTGCCTTTATTAGTAACACACAGGCTTACATAAACGACACAGGTGTGTTATAAAGGAAGTCATTATTTTAATGGTTTCTTATATTAGACATTTTTTGTTTTATGTGGCTTTCCTTAGAGATGTGCTTCTGAAGAGGAAATTGTGTATGTCATTCTTGTTATCCAAACCATCTATGTCTTCTGGTTGCTTGACGTGTTAGTGGAGCAGTACATTTATAATATACTTGATTCCCAGAAATTCAGTAAATAGACAAGCCTATGAGCCTCTCATCCATATCCATCGTTTGCATGTCACGACAGCAGTCCTTCATCACTGGAGGGCAAGACAAGTTCTGAAGACGTATCAGTATTTTTTCATCTGTTATACACGATGTCTTCATTGACAGGGTGGGTTTGAAAAAACATATAATTTAATCTCTCCAGTAAAGGAATGCTGCCATAGTGCTTTCACTTGTAACAACGTGTAATTCATTACTGTATACCTGATTTCTACACCGTATAAGAGCATCATAGCTAGAAGGTACAACTTATGTCTTTCTTGACATCATTATTTTGGAAAAAGCCATTTTTGCATGCCAATCAGTAACAGTCATGGATTCTCTAACTCGGCCTGCCTACCAGGTTGTTTATCTACCATGTTAAATTACCGTAAATGATCTTATTCAGATGTGCCAGACATTCCAATATTTTATTAATGCATCGAATCATTTAATTTTTCATTTTTGTATGTATGTTTATTTTTTCACAACACAATAAAAAATTAGAAAGATACAAATCCATTGCAGCCCAGGTAATTGAAGCTCCCAACACTAGCAATTACAGACTACCCAACCATCTAATTACATTCGAGCAATGCAAAATGTTCACGTTTTTATTTTCCTGATTTTTCATGTGTTCGTGAAATTTGTGACATTAATACCGTACATTCTACAGTATTTTAATCAGTAGTGTTAATAATAATGGAGAATGTGCTGTCTGTGTCTATTCGTAATAACTGTGTAACATCAAGGTAGAGTACATGTACATGTACATATGTATACTCTCTTTCTATTTACTTACAATTTGGCTTTCTACACGACTGTTGAATAATAAAGGCCCCCCCAGTAAGGAAATGTTCTCACAGTGCGTTGATGCAGACAGTCAGTGACTTAGTCCATGACAAGGGGGTAATCATGTTGGAAAATAAAATAAAATATTCTTATTTTAAAATTAATCTAACTTGTATATTACTCCAAAAAATATGAAAAGATTGAGCTTTAATAGTCTAATATTGTTTTTTTTTAGTTTTATCACTGTCCAATTTATTTAATATATATTTTTAAATCTTGCTTGTTTTTATTGCATTGTGAAAATCCATATGTGTGTAGTTAATAGTCCTGACTGTTTGTTGGTTTAAATTTGTGCATGTTAAATATTTAATTTGCATAATTTCATGTTTCTCTGTTATCTCAAGAACTATGCACTCAATAAATTTCACTAAACTTAAGTACATATTAAGTACATAGGTGTTTTGGGAAATCTACTAACTTTATTAGTAGTTTTAGTGGTGAAATGTGTGCATAATAATCATCTACTTTACATAATAATTAGCCAAGTTAACTTTACTGTGATTCTTGTTGATAAAAGTGATTGAAAGTTCTTTTTCCCATTTGAGATCTTATTCTTCAGGCAGTGTTATATAAATAACTAGTATTTTTATTTTTATTTTTTCAAAATATTTCTTAAAAATCTGGTGATGTGCCTCCAACATGCTGCGCTCATGCTGACATCAGTTCATTGCATGTAATAAATAATAAAGAGTCACGAATAATCAAAACATGCACACAACTAATGTAATTTTACATTAATCCACCCATATAAAGTTTACAAGTGCGAAATTAATAAAACAATGTGAATAACACTATGCAATGTGAGTGCAGTATTTAAGATCACCTTGGACTGCCCCACCTAAACAAAGAAACTATGTCTGCTATACACATTGTTTTAGTTATCCCATAGCTCCAAAGAAAATGTCACTTTTCTCAATAAATACTCATTCTCTCAGTAATTCCTCTGTTAATCAAGTCGCATGTGTAATTTACATTCACATGAGTGTTTGGCATACTACGTAATGATTTTCATTCCTTGCACAGTCTTCATCAAGCCTGCTTGTTTTGCTTTCTCATATTAATCGAATTCTGGCTGGGCTGAAGTTTGCAAAATAGGGACTTGGAGTAGAAATTTATTCTGCTTACAGAACCAATCAAATTAAGAACTAATACAAAATACAACGTCTGTTAAGTGTAGATCATGCATGTAATTCCTAATTACTTACCTACGTGTATGCTATTAGTGTTCTGCTGTGTATTACAATTAAACTATTTCCAGTTGTATATAAATATTTATTGAATTATGAAGACGGTTTTTCGTTAGATTCATAAATATTTCAGAATATCAGCTTGTAATTCATAAGATTCATAAAACAGTGTGTGAGTCATCATGAGCACTTACATTTAGTCATTCAGATTGTGAATTGCTTTTATATGTACCTTGTTCAGTGTGCATATAATGTATTCAGTTTTTTTTATAGTGATGTGTGGATTGATTGAGACTATTTATTTAATTCATTTTAAGGTTTTGTTTTTCTGTCAGGACTGGATGTAACTGGTCAAAACAAGGCATGGCTGGTCTGTACTTGTTGTAACTTGTCAAAACAAGGCATGACTGGTCTGAACTGGTTGTAACTTGTCAAAACAAGGCATGGCTGGTCTGAACTGGTTGTAACTTGTCAAAACAAGGCATGGCTGGTCTGAACTGGTTGTAACTTGTCAAAATAAGGCATGCCTGGTCAGAACTTAGTGTAGCTGATCAAACTTGTAGGCATGGCTATTCCTGGCTGTAAGTGGTCAAAACTAGTTGTCGATCAAACATGTCATGGCTGGTCTTATCAGAATGTATCTGGTTAAACCTTGCCATGTCTCATCAAATTTGAGTAAAAACTGGTTACTGTTGGTCAGAATTAGATATCAAATCTAATCAATCAGATAATAATTTTTTTTATTAAAACACTATTTACTAATTGAGTTTGTTTGTTTTATTCTAGACTCCACCAGAGTGCCAAGGCAGCTGGTGATGCAGACTACCCAGCTTACGGGGTAACTGGACCCAGTACAAAGTCTTCTACAGTTACTGTAAGTAATGATGAACTTTCCAATTTCTGATAAAATCTGGAAAAAACAAATTAAGATAAACCTTTCTCAAATGTCAGTGGAGACTGGAGACTGACTGACTTGTGGGTCTGTGAAGTCTCGTGGCGTGATAAGTGTTTTAATATCCTCTGATTGAGACCTGGCTGAAAGGGTCTCAAAGTAATTCATATCAGTCATTGGAGACTATGTGTTCAATTAGGTGATCCAGAGTTATTTCTACAGCGTTTTTTTTCTCTGAATTGATTCCCCACATGACAGGAAAGTAGACTTACTCTTTGCTGTAACTGAAAATGAAATAATTAATTTGGACTTTGATAAAAAGGTTGTTATACTAGTGTACGAAAGGAGAATTCACAATGGGTCATGGTTAGTGTTGCAGACTCGTTTACGATTGTATTGCATTATCGTGATGAATAGCTGTAATTGTGATGTCTAGTCACGTTGTCACTGTGTAATATGGGCTATGTTTACCAATTGCCGCTGTTACAGTGTAGGACATTGCATCAATCTACCAGTCTTTGCCTACACAGGTAGTGTTGTGGGGTTAGAATGTAATGGTTGTCTACAACAATTTGTTATTAATAATATTTCCAAAGACTAATTTTCTTTGTGTTTCCTATGTGAAGTTTTTTCTCAGTATTTTTGCTATTTAGATTTCTTGCATGAATTCAAACACTTGTTGACCTAAACACTTTTGGCTCTTGTTGACCTAATCAGTTCTTGACCCTTGTTGACCTAAACACTTCTTGACACTTGTTGACCTAAACACTTTTTATCCTTGTTTACCAAAACACGACTTGACCCTTGTTGACATAAACACTTGTTGACATAAATACTTGGCCCTTGTTGACCTAAACACTTTTGGCCCTCGTTGACCTAAACAATACTTGACCCTTGTTGACCTAAACACTTGTTGACAAAACTTTTGGCTCTTGTTGACCTATACACTACTTGGCCCTTGACCTAAACACTTTTGGCCCTTGTTGACAAACACTGTACACTTGTTAACCTAAACACTTGTTGACATAAACACTTTTGGCCCTTGTTGATCTAAACACTACTTGACCCTTGTTGACCTAAACACTTGTCGACATAAACACTTTTGGCCCTTGTTGACCTAAACATTTCTTGACCCTTGTTGACCTAAACACTTGTTGACAAAACTTTTGGCTCTTGTTGACCTATACACTACTTGGCCCTTGACCTAAACACTTTTGGCCCTTGTTGACAAACACTGTACACTTGTTAACCTAAACACTTGTTGACATAAACACTTTTGGCCCTTGTTGATCTAAACACTACTTGACCCTTGTTGACCTAAACACTTTTGGCCCTTGTTGACCTAAACATTTCTTGACCCTTGTTGACCTAAACACTTCTTGACAAAACTTTTGGCTCTTGTTGACCTATACACTACTTGGCCCTTGACCTAAACACTTTTGGCCCTTGTTGACAAACACTGTACACTTGTTAACCTAAACACTTGTTGACATAAACACTTTTCGCCCTTGTTGATCTAAACACTACTTGACCCTTGTTGACCTAAACACTTGTCGACATAAACACTTTTGGCCCTTGTTGACCTAAACATTTCTTGACCCTTGTTGACCTAAACACTTCTTGACCCTTGTTGACCTAAACACTTCTTGACCCTTGTTGACAAACACTGTAGACTTGTTGACCTAAACACTTGTTGACCTAACACTTGGTGACCTATACACTTCTTGACCCTTGTTGACCCACCCTTCTGGCTACTTTCCTGTTTATACATGTATCTTCGTCAGGGTTTGCCATTACCACATAAATACATGCTGAGCACGGTTATAACCAAAAAGTGAAAAATGCCAGTCTGAAATAAAATTGAAATCAATAATAACACTCTGTAGTATGTACCCACAGACTCGCTGTCTATTTTTTATTGATTATTAATTGCCATTTTGTAAATTAAAGATTAATTTTCAACAAATGTTGACAGGTTTGTTAAAATTGATCTGTCCTCTGTCAAGTGACATTTATTTACCTGTTTAAAATGAGCATGTCTAAAATGACATGTAGACAGGTGACTGGCTTAAAACATGAAGCTTTGTATTAATATTAATAACACTGTAGTGTTGTGTAGTTAGTCCCCGTTCAGGCGTAGCCTGAAAGGCAACTATTATATCTTATTTCTGGTTTCCTTTCGTCCATCCCCCTTTATGTCTTCAACGTTTTCTCGGGAATCCTGCAGCAGATATCAATGAAACTTGGCAGGTTGATGAACAAGTCTCTGAACAAGTCATAGTTTGAAATGCACTTGTGTGTGGAAGTTTTCAGTTATTAGTACAATACTAGATTAAGGGAAATCACTTTATGATGAGTTGTACCTACATAGAGTACCCGGTACATATTAATGCAATTGTTTTGCAGATGTTCCATGTATTATTTTAACATGAGTATTTTATAATTAACTGACAGAGACAGTAACATTCATGTCTTGTTTTTGCTGCACCTTGCATTATAAACAGAATTTAATCATGCACTGATTCACTGTCAACTATCATTACAGCATTTCCAATCAAATTAATTTAAAACCAGTCCTTTCTTCTCTTGTTCTCCAAAACATGAATTTGAAACAGTCAAGATCGTGACCTTTCATGACCTACATGTATGTGACCTTTCATGCCCTGTATTGATTGTTCCTAACTCTGATGCGATCTTTGTTCAGCTAAAAATCAATAATCTCAGTATTGATGTTTGCTGATGTATATCCAAAAATTGGCCACCCAAAAAAATGTACATTTCTCGTCTCTTTACACATCTTATTTTTTTTATAAAGTTTCATGAAAACCATGAATTTTATGACTATTTTGTAAAAATTTTGGTCTAAGCTGTTATCATATTGTACATTGTAAATTGTATAAATACAGGACCACACCCTCAATCGTTTCAAGAATATTCTTCTAAACTTTCTAACTGTTCAATAACATTTCCTAGCATAATGTTTAATTTGTTATTTTCATTTTACAGAATGGAGACAGAAAACTTGCACAAAGTGCCCAAATGTATCATTATCAACACCAAAAACAGCAAATGATTGCAATGGAAAAGTGAGTACTCAGTACCTAGTGTTTTAATTTCTTTAAAATTAAGTTTATTCATTCCTTCACCGTGAATAGTTGTTTCTATAATTTCTTCAGCTTGAATATCAAAGTTTGGTACATATTCAATCATGTATGTTGAACATTCATCATAACTTCCTATTAAAATGGTACAATGCAACAGAGGGGATGAAAACATATGAAAAATGTTGAATTTTTGGTTTTGAATTGTTAAAAACAATTAGTGTGACTTCTAATACAGATTTAACGATACTTGTTTTAATAAGACAATACATATATAATTAATGAATACTTTATTTTCACCAAAAATTTCAGAAAATGTGTTGAAAGTTGTGATTGCAGTTACTCTATTAGTGATAGATTTTACAAAGGTTTTAAAAGATGAAGAAATGTTAGTGTGTAATATGAAATGAAGATCTCAATTTGATCTTGCACGAATTGCCTGATGATCACAAAATTGTTGACAAACATAAATTTCTAGAAATACTAATTAAGTCAGTCTGTGAAATAACTGGTTAGTGTTCATTTCACACTGGTTTAGCTGGTGTCCTTTCTTATTTGCTAAATGTGTATTGCATAATTTTTAAGTCTCTGTGGTAGAAATTCACATAAAAAAAAATATTCAGGATACGGTGACATTCAATGTCCGGAACTGCCACCTGGCACAAAAATATAATAAAACCCTGCCAGGCATTTCACTGCATTCAGTGATGCCATTGGGTAGAACTACACTTCAAATTGGTGTGTAAGCAGAATTGTATCTTCAATCACCATACTTGGACATCTGAATTGTATATTTTTATTTTATAAATCTTTCAGCTCACAGCTCACATATACAATATATGTAGAGGAGTAATTTTATAGTCATACATATTTATTTAACGATTTCTTCTTCTTACTTATGTTCACCAATGTTTTGTATCTTGAGACTGCATTTCTTTTGATTAATGCCAAACAGACATGCACACGGTTTATTTAACGCATCAATTTGTTTTATTGTCACAGCCGAGCAAACGGTGAAATGAAACAAGACAATTCTGACGATGATTCTGAAGAAGAGAATGAAGAAGGAGACTATACTGTATATGAATGCCCTGGACTTGCACCGGTAAGTTGTTTCCAGCTCTTGTCATTGCAGTTACTGTTGGCATCACAACTACTGATGATGTCATCACTATTGATACCACAACTACTGATGATGTCATCATTGATACCACAGCTTGTACGCTAATTGTAGTCACATTTTGATCGTTTCTTTTATTTTTACAGGCCGGTGAAATGACCGTCAAGAATCCACTGTTCAACGATGACCATGACCCTTCATCACCGCCACCAACCAAAGATGGAGATAATTAAACCGTTGCTATGACAGCACGAGATGCAACTATGGAGATAAAATATAATATATATATATATATTTATTTATAGTTTTTTTAGAGAATTGTGGAAAATCATGAACAGTTACAAATTGTGAGATAAAAAAGTTCAAGTCATTATTGTCATCAGTACACATGAAATGGATATGGATTATTCTTTTATTTATATTATTGTTTTTATTTGATGAATATATGATTGAAGTTCATCATGACTATAATGGATTGGCCCAAAGAGCTGTGGATGGCTTGGTGTAAAATTCTCAACTGCCAACTATTCGGAACACATGTAAGCCTGTCAAACAATCCAAGCCATTGCTTGAAAACATTGATATCTTTCAACAAAAATTCTTTTTCAATCTGTCCCTCTCTAAAATGAGTCACAATACTACTTACAGTCCAAGTTTACTTGTTTTTTTTTCTGTCAGCTGATATTTAAAATCACAAACAAAATAAGTCTTTGTGTTATTTTGCATAAAGTCGTGTTTCAAATGTATTTTGTGAAAAATCAAAACTAATAAACACTTTTGTTAATAATACATTGACAAAGTTTTATTATAATTTTAACTGAAATAATTTTAAAACTTAGACATGGTGACCATTTTTCAAGTGCAATATATTTTAGCCAGCAATCCAAGTTCATGTGTACTGATTGAATGATGACTTCCTGTCGTGACATGTTTGTCGCATGACTTAAACTTCTGACAGACGCAAGTTGTTGTACATGTGTACTATTAAAAGGAGTGATGCCCCCACTCGTGTATGTAGTGTTACAAAAATTGGATGGCCAAATTATTGACCTTTGAATATTGCATTGTGGGGAGATTAATAACAGGTAGCAACATTTCTCTAAAAATCTTGAAAAAATTTCAACAAAAAATAAACGAAGAAAAAAAAAACAATTCAGGTGTTTTAACTTTTTAGTTTAATTTGTGTAACATTAATTAATAGTTTTATTTAAATTTTAATTTGAGCTGAAGCACCAGTGGGGAAAGGTATTCGTATACCTCAAGTCGGTGGCTGTATGTACTTAAGCTTTCATGAGAAAATTGCGTTTAAGTAATTCCAACATTATCCAATCTGCCAGGTAATTTCCTGTCATGAGCAAGATGAAAACTCTGTGGACATTGGCGCTCAGTTTTGTCCCGATTTTAAAATATCTGAAGTGTTTGATGGGCCTAAATACCCATGATGCACTGCGACATCCAACTATTTTGGAGTTGTCTTTTTATGGCAAGAATTCTCAGCTGTGAGGATAATGTACAAGGCGGTAACATAGTGAATGCCCCTCCCTCCTTTCTACCCTCACTCAACACCTCACACTTGTCTAGAATCAATCTATAGACAATTTTTGTGACTGAAGATTCTGTAACCTTTGCACCTCTGACATCTGGAGTTTGTTTTAATTTGCTGCAAAGGCAATTTCTACTAAATTCAGTCCCTTGAGAGCAGTCTGCATTGATAGATCTGAAATTGGCTTCCATTATCGATCTGTTCATCACTTGAGGGCAGTGTTTGCATAACCGGCAGCCATTTTTGGCTCATCACTTTAAGATGAAAATTGACTGTGATGTCATATATTATCAATCTTATAATTCCTTGGATTTCAGGAATAAAAAAAATGTAATATTGTTGTGCATTTGGTAGTTTTGCATGTGTAGTCATCATATTCTGTTACTGTGCTTGTATATTACACAGTGCAGTGTAGTGCAGCGATTCAATTAATTCTGCCAAATTTTTATAGAAAATATAAGAAAATAAAAATACTATACGAGGTATTTACATAGTTAACTTTTCAGTATACCAGTCATTTTATTTACACTTTAAGTTTTGTCTCTATGACAACACAAACCACCACCCTGTGACCTTCCTGAATCCTGTAGGTCAGACAACTGTGTGGATTCAATGAACAAGATTTATGTGACCTCTAAACTTTCTGGCTGCATCCCACAATGCACTTCTCTTTAATTTAACCTTTCACCGCCATTGACAATGTTGTTTTTTTCGTCATTTTATCGTGGCAGTTGTTAACAAAGATCTTCAAAACCTGTACACAATGTTGTCTCAATTTGGCCGAAAATTAGTTCTAAAGTTTGAAACCATTACTGGAAAAGTTGCTGAAAAAAGTATATATCTGACTGTGAAAGTTTTGTCTGGTGGAATTTGTTTAGTCACTTGTCATCGTAAATCTTGATTACTCGCTTACTGTGAGGACAGCAAGTTTTTATTTTACAAAGAATCCACACAGCCGTGAGAGAAAATAAAAATTAATACTTTGAGATGCCTAGTTATTGCAAATGAAAACATTTTTAATAGTGATATTCTAACAACGTGTTTTATTTTGGGGATGATTTGTCTTTGTAAATTTGGTTTATGTTTTGTTGTCACTCGTATTTCTTTTGTTAGTTTTGATTTGTGCTGTATTTTTAGATTTTAATTAATTATTACATTCTTGTGTCTTACTGTTTTAAAAATCTGTTCACTCTTGCTGAAGGATATGACTAGATTTGTATAAATTAACAATGAATACATTTGCATAAATTATCACCAATTTGCATAATTGTAATGATAATGCATCCAAGTCATATTCTTGAGTTTTTTGGTTTGAAATAAGATTATTTAGTCTGGACTATCCATCCAATTTGTTCTTTGTCATTCATTGTTACTATAGCAACGACACTTATCTGAGAAAATTTACGTGATGTTGTAGTTGAGAGTTATGAATATTAATGTAAATAGTGAATTATGATAAATTGTTTTTGCAGTGATACATTGTAAATAGTTGTACAATCCATCAACCTCTTTAAGTAATTTAAGCCCACCCCTTCATGCTGCTGCTGTCAGTGTAGTTTTAAACAAGTATGAGCACTGCAGTGTCCTACTGAAATATTGACTAAATAAGGCTCCTTAGCTAAGCCCAAATTGTGAGTAATTAAGGCTCCTTAGCTCAACCTGAGTTGTGAGATCCACAATGCAGCTGAGAGTGCAAATTTTACATATTCAAAAAGAAGTAATCGACTTTAAAATCTTGACAATTCCAACTTTTCTTACTTTAGATCTCTGTATCTAATAATGGGCGTCCTTTATTCTAATATTCTAGTTGAACTCAGAGGGCTCTGTTCACTGGTGGATAGATGCCCTTGGCAGTATGGGGTATTTGTTTTTTAATTGGAAAGACAGCAGCATGACATTACTGTATTAATTAATCCCTGCTTAAAATGGCGTATATTCAGTGTATATAGAATGATATTATGGCATGCGGTCTGTTTTAAATTTGGATCTGTAATGTTGTAGATTTTGTTATTGTTTATCCACCTCAAATGCTGTGTTTCTCAGTATTCATTCAAAAAGGAAGACAGTCAAATAATACAAAGCTTGCGCTTGCATTCGTAACAAACTACCAATATTAATATTATTAATATCAAAATAGACGCATTGTTTTGCTGTTTACTAGTGGTATGAAGTCTTGGTACACATTGCATTTCTGTTGGAAGTGTGCCCTCTATGTTTAGTATTTATTTAGTTCGGATCAGGTGACTTCATAGTGTGATGCATTGTGTATATGCAAGACTTTTTGCCTTGACACATTGTTGCCATGGCAGTTGGGTAATCTGATGTGTTTGAATTTCATGTTGCTGTATCATATTAATGCCATGGGTTAATTTTGGATAATGCTGCCATGACAACTGTCTACTGAGAACATCCCTGCCCCTTTAAACTTGTAATATTCTGTGTATGGGTTAATAAAGTAATGTAATGCTATAGTTTGAAATTCGTTTGTCATTTCTTCTAAAAGCCAGTTTATCAAGCAACACGCACGTTGCCCCATGAATTGCCTGGATGCATAGGGCTGGGAATTGCCACTGGTGGCGCTGTACAGTTTTGAAATCATTAGTGGCTCGCAAAGGTAGAGTTGCATTATAAAGACTGAGTCACTTGTTAAATCTGCTGACCAGTTTAGTCTGACAGAAAGCGTATACAGTCTTCTAGTAACCACAATAGACAGGGTGGAAGTCAAGGCTAAAAATATGTGCTTGCGACAGTTCATAAATATTCATGAGATATTTCTATGCCATAACCACAGTCAGCTG